GTAGGCTTTCTTTGAGCACTTTAATTTCTTCAAAGTAACAGCGCCGGAGGCACGACCCGGCCAATTAAGGCCAGTAGGGCATCGCCGACAGAAGGGACGAGACGACCGGTGCACACTTAGGGCTGACCGTCCGGCCCATTCCAAAGTCCAACTACGAGCTTTTTGACTGCAACAACTTAAATATGTGCTACTGGAGCTGGAATTACCGCGACTGTTGGCACAAGACTTGTCCTCCAATGGATCCTCCTTAAGGGATTTAGATTGTACTCATTCCAATTACCAGACTCATAGAGCCCGGTATTGTTATTTATTTATTGTCACTAAATCCCCGTGTCAGGATTGGGTAATTTGTGCGCATGCTGCCTTCCTTAGATGTGGTTGCCGTTTTTTAGGCTCCCTCTCCGGAATCGAACCCTAATTCTCCGTCACCCTTCACAACCATGGTAGGCCACTATCCTATCATTGAAAGTTGGTAGGGCAGAAATTTGAATGATGTGTCGCCGGCACGATGGCCATGCCATCCTTCGAGTTGTCATGAATCATCGCAGCAACGGGCAGAGCTCGCATCGACCTTTTATCTAATAAATGCATCCCTTCCAGAAGTCGGGGTTTGTTGCACGTATTAGCTCTAGAATTACTACGGTTATCCGAGTAGTAGATACCATCAAACAAACTATAACTGATTTAATGAGCCATTCGCAGTTTCACAGTCTGAATTTGTTCATACTTACACATGCATGGCTTAATCTTTGAGACAAGCATATGACTACTGGCAGGATCAACCAGGTAGCATTCCTCAGCGACGCCGCGCGCCGCATGAGCCCGCCGCGCCCGTAAGGGCACGTCATTCGCAAGGAACATTTGTTTTGGGCAGATAGGAGCCAGTGAAGGCCCTATGCCCACTGCGTCTACCGAGTCGGAGAATTCGAGCCACCGTTTACGGACCACGCCATAGCACGACGAAGCGGCGAGGAAGGCGTGGGTCACAAGAACAACTTTTGGGTTCACCCCATTCAGGGAATGCGAGGGGCGAAAGGAGACTGATTGCACATGAGTAATGCCTAGGCATTAGGTATGAATCACAGGATACCAACATCCGACAAGCCTAGATTGAGCTTGATCCGCGACCGAGATGGCATGCGGGTTAGGACGTCGCAGCTCGAAGCAGGGATCCAACCTAACCACACAAACCGAATACCACTCATGCGTCGTACGTGATTAGCTTTTTCGATGCACACCCAACACCCACCCCGACGCTCGACATGAGATCCCGTGCGCCGAGGCTAATGCCTTTGTTGCAAGGAGAATGCTATCCCCGCTGTTGCGCGCCGCCCAAGGTGGTTGATAATTAATCACTGTAAAGGTGTTGCAGGGAGACTAAAGTTCTTGCATGAGCACCGCCCACGTCCGGTCCACCAATAGCGTCTGGCCGTACTTGGCCTTACGTGCTGTGCGTACTGCTCCTCCGAGGATGTAGCACAGACAAGCAATGCATGCCGTCAAACTTGCCAGTCGTTTGAAAGCAAGCACTGCCGTTCCACCCCAAACGCGTTTAGACCGGTCAAGATAAATCCCTACGGTCGTCGACATGTTTTTATAGGTGCCCGATGATGTAGGACGAACAGGCCATGCATGCCATCAAACGCCCAGGCAGCACGCCCACTAAGCCCATATGACGCCCATGACGTCCGCCTGTCGTCGCCTCAGTCTGCCTCCAATCATTTTCTCAAAGAATAACGATCAGGAATGACTTCTACATTGTAGGCGAATCGTTCGATGAAGTCCTTAGCCAGAGCATTCCAGCTAGACCATTGTCTCGTTCCATGCGATGTAAACCATTCCAGAGTAGGCATGGTTTTTTCAGAATCATAATGAACATGTGCAACCCAAATATAGACGTTCAAAGGTACAAACACACATTAGCATCCACAAATGATTTTTATATATATAAAAAATATGGTATTCAACAAAAAAATTTATTTTAATTTTCTGAAATTTCTGAAAAATTAGTAATAAGTTAATCACAAATAAGAAAAAATATCAAAAAAATATAAAATTAACACCAAAAATTCACAAATAAATATAGTAACAATTTTTAAAATGTGATGTAAAAAATAATAAACCGTAAAAATAATGAAGATTGGTACGAACGAACCTCGTGCGGCGGAAACGTTGAGAATATATGATGGAAAATAGAGGAATATATTGTTATGCATGAAGGGTGTTTCACACTCTTTTGATTTTTGGAAGGCATGGACATCCGCATGTTGTTGACTAGACCTTGACCAATGTTACACAAGCCACGACCGATGCGGGCAGTCCACGGCCGTTGTGTGCAGCCAGGCCACGTCCGACGTCGGTTGACCGTTGTGTGTAGTCCTAGGGCGATATGGCCAGACCACGACCGACGTCAGCTGACTGTTGTGTGCAAGCCACGACTGTCGTCGGGTGACCATTGTGTGCAGTCCAAGGGAGATGCGGCCAGTCAACGTCCGAAGTC